TATTTTCAAGTCTAATAACTGCTCCAGGATCCATCACACACTATATGTCAGTCTTCCACTTGACAGTCACCTGACGCTCCTAACCTCTTTCCTACCAGTCCTGGTTTCTACACCTGCCCAAGCTTTCTGCCGCTCTATGCGCATTTTAGTTCTCAGTTTCTCTTTTCCATTTGATGCTCAGCATAGGATACAGTGCTCCATGCAGGTCAAACCATGCAGAATGAGACACAACCAGCTCTCTAGTTCAGAGAACTAGGATAATATCCATACAATCTGCTAGCCTCTCCTTAGCAAGGAAAGCACCCAGTTGCTTTAAACAAGGATGGAGCAGAATTCAGTGCTATCTTTTTCTCTTACCCTGCTGTTAAATTATCTCTATACAATTTTATACTTATGTGATTATAGTTTGATCCAGCTACAGAGCCTAAACGTATCTCTACAGAAATTATCTCTTCTTAAATTTTGCTCAACATCCAACAAAGGTGAGGGTCATGCTTTTGAACCAAATGTACAATTTATTTCAAATTTACTTAAAATGATGCATGCTCTCTTGAACATGTTAAAAAATCAAGCAGAAAGAAGAACAGAAGATGATTTAGAAGATCTCGACTTACATTCTAATGGGCTCCCCCTTCTTCAAAGATGACAAGAACTAAAGTAAAAATGAGCCCAGTTTCTTAGGTTTCACCACTTCCTTCAATATGGCTACCCTCACACACAGAATGAGGCAAAGTTTTCAATACTCATTTGATTTTATTCCTTATCCTCTTCCCAAAAGAAAATCTTTGACAACTCCACTGTAAAACGTTCAGAGTCTTCACGGGTGAGATAAAAGTTTCCTGAAATAGTTGCATCATTTTTTTCTTTGTTGTTGTTATTGAAGATGATGTGTCCCCAAAGCGAACCATATCTTGGGAACGAGGCCACTCAGGGAAAGTGCAATTATAGTTTTGCTTCATATCCTCAGTACGTCCAATGAGATCTGCTTTCTGATAATTTCATGTTTGTTTCTAACTGGATGTAGACTCTCTGTTACCTCTAGTTCCAGGTTAAGTAAGGAAATACCATGGAATTCTTTGTAAATTGAAGTAGCACAGACAGGGTAGGGCCCCCTCTCTTCTGCATTAATACCTTGGGAGCAAGGGCTAAGAATGCAGAAAATGGACTTTCCCCAGATCTAGCACTTACCACATATTGCCAAAGGCATAATTTTTCCAAGACTGTCCAAAATGTGTAAACTGTTTAACTATTGTGGGCTAGGGCTGGGAAAGAATGACTTCTGATGACATATTTACTGGTCGTTAAACTTGAGCAGATTCTCTGAACTGTTAGCATATGGCAAAGGAAAAACATTCTTTATTGCTAACAAATAAAAACAAATAAAACAAAAAGCTTTAGGGTGACGTTTTGTCCCCAACACAAACAGCATGAGCTTGTCAAAACAGAGTCCATGTGAAAACCCGAATTTTGGTTCTAGCCCAAGTAATGGAAAAACAAGTTCTTCAGTATGCAGCACTTCTCTCTAGAAGGTTTTGTTTAGTTCGTTTTGTTTTCTTCTTAATTTCTTAACACGTCACTCTATTCTTTAAAGCGATTTTTTCCTATGAGACCTTAACTATTGATACGAACTTTCTGTTGACCCTATATCTGAAAGAATTTTTTATTGAGATATAATTGACATAGACCATTATGTTAGTTTCACATGTGCATCATAATAATTCAATCTTTGTATATATAGCAAAATAATACCACTATAAATCTAGTTAACATTTGTTCCATATGTAGTTGCCAAAAATTTTTTTCTTGTGATGAGGACTTTTAAAATCTACTCTTAGCCACTTTCAAATATGTAATATTTATTTATCCCCTGAAGACCCTTTAGATGTTGCTCTTTTGTTTATTTATTTTTAATTATAATATTCTCAGAGGACTGAGAATTGATTTTCCCCCTTTTGGGGGGTAGCACATTTTGACTAATTATTAAGAAAATAATTATTTTCTTAAGCTTACAATTGAAAAATCTCTTCTAGGATTTATGAGCTTCCTCTTATTGATTTCTGTCTAAAATGGTGAAAATTATGAATCTACATACTTGACTCTGTTAGCTCAGAAAACATTCTATAGCTTTGATCATCCCTTCTGCTTCAATTGTCTGACCATCATAAACATACACATAACATCCATTGTTGAATCTTTACTTTATGTTTTTGATATCATTGTGTTTCTTCTTATCTTGTTAGTTCTGTTATTCTTTTTCTCTTTGTCTTGCAAAAGCTTTTCAAATTGGTACAAGAATTTGGACTTCTAAGTGTCAGTTCTTTATTTAAAGACTCCCATGTGGCTTTTTTAAAATTAAATTTATTTCAACGACATTGGTTAATAAAATTATACAGGTTTCAAATACAGGTTTCAAATGTACAATTCAATAATATATCATATGTATATTGCATTGTGTGTTCGCCACCCGACTGTTAAGTCTTTCTTTAATCATCATGTAATTGACCCCATTTACCCTTATCTACCTTCCCTCTCTCCCCTTTCCTTCTGATAACCACTAGACTGTTGTCTGTGTCTATGAGTTTCTGTTTGTTTGTCTTGTTCATTTGTTGCTTTCAGTTTTATATCCTACATATGAGTGAAATTTTAAGTTCTCAGCTTTTTCTGTCTGACTTATTTCGCTTAGCGTGATAATCTCAAGATCCATCTGTATTGTCTCAAATGGCAGTATTGCATCTTTTCTTATGGCTCAGTAATATTCCATTGTGTACATACGCACCACATCGTCTTTATCTAGTCATGTATCGAAAGGCACTTCTGTTGTTCGCTTGTCTTGGCCACCGTGAATAATGCTGCAATGAACATTGGAGTGAATAAATCTTTACAAATAAATGCTGTTTTCCAATTTGGGGGGTAGATACCCAGAAAAAGAATTGCTGTGTCATATGATAATTCTATTATTAATTTTTTGAGGAACCGCCATACTGTCTTCCACGGTGAGTGTACCAATTTACATTCTCGCCAGCAGTGTATAAGGGTTCCTTTGTCCCCACAACGTATACCAATTTATATTCTCGCCAGCAACGTATAAGGGTTCCTTTGTCCCCACAACCTCTTGGGTTCCTTTGTCCCCACAACACTTGTTATTACTTGTCCTGTTGATGATGGCCATTCTAACAGGTGTGAGGTGGTATCTCATTGTAGTTGTGATTTGCATTTCCCTAATAGTTAGTGAAGCTGAGCATCTTAACAATGCTTTTACTAAAGGAAGCATTAGACTGTTTTATTATGATTGATAAGCTGATGCTGCCATCTGGTGGCATAGTTTAGCAACATTTTAAGGAAGAAATACGAGTGTTACTTCACTAGGAACTCTGCCTACTCCTTATTTGAACATATCCTATATTCACACAGACCATATTAACAGGAGATGACTAAAGAGTAAAATGAGGCAGGAAAATGATGTTTCATTAAAAAATGTAAAATTGTGCATGTCATGGATACTGAGAGCACATACTGTAAAACAAACCCTCATGTTCCAAAATAATACTAAATATTTAAAACCAGATTTCTAAGAATTCAGGATGGAAGGGCATTTTGAGAGATCTTTATGAACACAAAATTGGAAAAAGAATAATATTATCCTTAAAAGATAATGAGGTTTCATCACATTGTTTTCAAAATGACCCCTCGGGAAAACAAAAGCTTGCTATTACCTTGGTGGGCCTCACAAACCTGCCATCTACTAGATGCCTGACCTAAGGCATATGGCACAAGCTCTCTGAAGTCTCAGTTTCCCCAGCTGTAAAGTGGATCTAATAACTCATACCAAAAGCAGGAGCTAAAGTGTTCAACGAGATGTTTACAAAACACTTCTCATCCTGTCTATGATATAGTAGGTCTTCAGCAAATATATAATAACGTTATTATTAAAGAATAAATGTTTTATACTAATAACTGATTCAAAGTGATATTAGCGCAGAAACAAACAGAAAAAAAAACATCAAAACTGCAACCTCAGGAAAGAAAACACACATACATACTTACGTGTTACATACAAGCAAAGAAAGGCTTGATGTCAATTCTGTGCCTTTCTTCTTACTTATCTTCATGGCTGTCAGGCTCCTTATCTATAAAAATGGAATTGATACCCTGCCTATGACACAAAAATTAATAAATAACAACAGTTATTACTAACACTTTATTAAAGAACTGCAATGCATTCTGCACTTTACAAGCACAAATCATGTAATTGCAGTGACAAAATCCCAATGACAAGTTATTACTATGAGCAGAGCATACAGGGATATAGAAAGCCTTCATAAAACATGAAGGTAGTATTAGAAAGTGGTATCATTCTACTTCCTGAGTAATTTATTGTCTTCCAGTATTATTACCATATAATTAACATATAACATTGTATTAGTCCAAGGAATACAACATAATATTTTGACATATGTATATATTGTGAAATGATTACCCAGTAAGTAGAGTTAGCAGCAATTATCTCAGTTACATTTTTGTTTTCATGTGATGAGAACTTTTAAGATCCAGTCTCTTAACAACTTAAAAATATATAACAATGATTTATTAAATATAGTCACAGTGCTGTTTATTACATCCTCAGAACTTATTTACCATGTAACTGGAAGTTTTGACCATAATACACTTTTTAAAATTTATGTTTAAAGAGTCAAGGCCAAGCTCATAGACAGTTGATGGATCTTAACACCCTATAAAGCAGAACAGTTAAGTCACTGGTTATGATTACTACCTTGAGAATACTTTTAAAGACTTGGGGTTCAAAAATCCACTCCAACTCTTTCTTGCTGAATGAGAAATTGGAAAATCAAATGAAAACATTTTAACCTAAAAACATTGCGTGACACGTAGTAATGCAGAGCAAATCTCAACACAAAAGTAGTATTCTTGGCACCCAGCCCTTGTTCTGGCATGTTGCATGTAGATTAGCTCTCAACCTGTAGTACAAATGGTATTCTGTTTTACTTACTCATCAGGAACTTCCTTCTAAACATCCTTCCAAATGAATTCTTAACTTCCTTGTTTCTCAGGCTATAGATAACTGGGTTCAACATGGGAATCACAGCCATATAAAACTCAGAAACCACTTTATTGATGTCCGGGGAGACACTAGAACTCAGACGTACATAGATAAAGAAAAGTGTCCCATAAAAGATGGAGATGGCTGTCAGGTGAGAAGAGCAGGTGGGGAAGGCTTTGCATCTCCCATCAGCAGAGCGGATCCTCAGGATGGCAATGACGATGTAAATGTAGGAGACAAAGATGATCACACCGCTGAGTACCCCTACAGCTCCAGCCAAGTTGAATAGTAATAACTGATTGACCTGGGTGTCTGCACATGCCAGTGAGAGAACCGGAAGAAGGTCACAGAAAAAGTGATTGATGATTTTTGGACCACAGTAAGGTAAGCGAAAGGCAAAAGTTGTGTGGGTCATGGCATATATAAGACCCACGGTATAAGGCCCTATGACCAGCTGCACACAGACCCACTGGGACATAATGAGCATATAAAACAAGGGCTTACAAATAGCTATATATCGATCATATGCCATGGAAGCCAGGAGGAAACACTCAGTCACTACAAACTGACCAAAAAAACATAACTGGGCAGCACAATCAAAGAAAGAGATTACTTTTTTCTCCACAAAGATGTCAGTCAACATCTTGGGACCAATGACAGAAGAGGAGCACATATCCACAAAGGACAGGTGGCTGAGAAAAAAGTACATGGGGATGTGGAGTCGGGAATCTATCCAAATAAGGGTGATCATACCCAAGTTTCCCAGAAAAGTGGCAAGATAAACCAAGAGAAATATCACAAAGAGAACAAACCTGGTACTGGAAATGATTGGTTAAGCCCGTGAAAAAAAACTCAATTACCAAAGTTTGATTTCCATAATCCATTCCTCTGTTTAATTCTGTAATGATAAAGAGAAAATTTTTCATTTGCAATACATTTGTAATTGAGGGCTTCTTAATTTTAAATCTGCACTTGACTTCTATTTTTCTACATTTCATAGAGCAGGCTGACAGAGTGTACTCGAGTTTTAACCCAGTGGTCACCCTGTCTGCTAACTATCTGTGTGACACCGAGTAAATCTCTGAATCTCGCTGGGCTCTTCAGTTTCCTCCTTGATCAAACAGGATTTTGAAGGAGAATCATAAAATTTTAGACATAGAATGACCTTCAACAATTATCTGAAGCAAATCCTCTAATTATGCAAGGTTACATTTCTAAAATTCCCTCACCTTTGACCAAGGATATTTTAAGAAACTTAAAAAAAAAAAAGGATACTTTAAAAAAAAGTAAGGATACTTTTTTAAGGATACTTTAAAAAAAAAAAAAGATGTTATTTGAACTTGATTAATTTGAGCTGGTATCTAGTCTCACTCTAGGTGAAGGGTGTTAAGAATGTAGGTTCCTCACCATTTCCTCTAGATTCTAGAAAATACATCCATTGTGTTGTCTAAAACA